TCATTTTTGACTGACATCCTACTTGCTATAGTCTTCAAAAAAAAATCAGTTAATAATTAACTGGAATTAGATTTGGCACCCATCACTAAGGAACTCAACTCAATAGTTCTTGATAGTCTTAGATGGAATTTTTAATAATCTCAGAATAGACTTTTTAAAATCAATCTTATCATTCCTTTAAACCCATGTTTTCTGAGTTCCCAAATAAAGAAGGGTAGAATAAGCAAACATGATCAGAATTAAAAGCACTAAAACATTTAAAAAAACAAAACAAGCTAATGATTCTCATGATTAAATGGCCAGTTTAGGTAGTATATATATATGGTTTTTTTCTTTCTATTGACAAAATGAAGAGTATCTGAAGGTAGTACATGACAAACACAAAAAAACTGTTTTTCTTCTCAGTCATGAGACTCAACTTGAGTGGCAAAGTGCGAAAAGGTGGTCCTGGAGAAGGCAGAGTATAAGATATTCAAGAAACTTGGCCTAAATTTCAGAAAATTTTATTTTTCTTTAGAGTCTCAAATAAATCAGTCACAGAAATCTTATCTCAGACTAATAATAATAACTTAATCAGAAAAAGAGCAGAAATAGTTCAGTCTGAAAGGCAGTGTGGGGTAGACCTGAGTGGGAATCCTGGCTCTACCATATAACAGTTCTGTGACTTTTATCTCTTTGAATTTCAGTTTCTACATCTGGAACATGTGTATAATAGCACTAAACTGGATAGGGCTGGCAAGAATGAACATAAAGAAGACATGTTATATATGTAAAGTGCCTGGCTCATAGTAGGCATTCAATAATTGTTCATGGACTTTTAAGTTTGGCAGATTAATAGCATTCTCTTTACTTCCAAAGCTACTGTGATGAGAAAAAGATACAATTAAATGGAACAATAAATCTCCTTGATCTGAAATTTTAAAGTAGATAAGCAATGAAATAAAACAAGTAAGAGATAGAAAGAATGATGGAATTATAAAACCCATATGAAAGTTATTAAGGTACTATTAATCATTTCTGTTTTCCTCTTGGCTGTGATGATGAGATTATATTTCATACTGGATGAAGAAGGAAATTACCCAAACTTTGAAAAGAGGAATTAAAAGTGTTTTACAAAAACAAAAATTGCTACCAATTTCCAGATGTTTGATCAGAAAACTATTTCAAAATGAAGGTAAGGCCTTTCAGTCATTCAACTGAGATGACCTGTTTAGGTACCTACCATATGCCCATTGCCATACTAGGTGGCAGATGGTATGCAAGAGAAGGTGAAAACACACTTATTAAAGCCATAGTACATGCCAAGTGGTATTAGGTACATAGCACTGCATTAACTTGATAGGGTGGCCATAACAAAATACCACGGACTGTGTGGCTTAAACAACAGAAATTCATTTCCTTATGTTTTGGAGGCTGTTAAGTCCAAGATCAAGGTGCCAGTAGGGCTGGTTTCCTCTGAGGCTTCTCTGGTAGGGTTACAGATGGCTGCCCTCTGGCTGCCTCTTCACATGACTGTCTCTGTGCACATATGTCCCTGGTGTCTCCTTGTATATCCAAATTTTCTCTTCTTATAAGCACACCAGTCAGGTTAATTTAGGACCCACCCTAACAGCCTCATTTTAACATCATCACCTCTGTAAAGACCTGATCTCCAAATAAGGTTATATTCTGAGGTACTGGGGATTGAGGCTTCAATATATGAATTTTGGAGGAATACAATTCAGCCTATAGCAAACATCATCTCACTTATCTATTGCACAGTTTTACAAATGATGAATCAGGTTCTGAGAGAATAAATAACTCATCAGAAGTCAAATAGGCAGTAAGTGGTGGAACCAAAATTTTAACCAAAGCTTCATTAGCACCAAAGCCTATGCTCTTTCTGCTATTCACACTTCCTCAAAGAAATATAAATCTAGTTCGGAAGATACAGTATTGACTGATAAAATTTCAAATAACGGAGCTGCCAATAAGAAGGCACTTATATACTGAATCTGTGTCATTATATGGAAAAGATCGATTCAGGATTAGTAACTATTTATAGAACACTTACTACATGTTAGGCTGGGTTCTTTCACAAAAGTCTATTGGTCCTCTCACATGAGGAACTGCTGACTGGCAAACAGGAACAGTCTTGGTACCTCTTGGCCCAAAGCCTACAGATAAACCTAAGTCAATTTCAAACACAAGAGAGCTTTCTAGAATAAGTATTTTAGATACGACTATCTTTTACATCTCATCTCTTTTCTTCTATATTTTGGTGTAGGCTATGTTCAGGGACACATATGAAATTCCTAAACTGCTCTATAATTTTTTACCTCACTGGCAATTTAAACAATGTTAGTTGGCTTTCAGCTCTGTAGCATCTCAGGATTCAAGTCCTATGCTGTTTCTCTAGATTCCCATTTGTGTTTTCTAGAATGAGTATTGGATTAGATTGTGGCCAGTCTGGCATCTGCTCAGTCCTCTGTCACCCTGTATTGTTCAAAGTTTGTTAAAAGTACCATCATAGTTTGTGCTTTATTCTCTAACTATATTTTTGAATCTATACTCTGTTAAATTGTAATTATATAATTAATAAGTTAAATCATTTACATTCCTGGATTACATTATAGCGTGTCCAAAGAAGACCAGTCTGGGTACGCATACTAGGGATCAAGGCATATGACTTGAATCCTAGTATATACCAAGTCTTACACAAAAATTGTGGATGAGATCTACTTCTTTATTCTATACTCTGAGGAGTATTTTGAAATAATTCTATTAGACTGCAAACTCTATAAATGTAAGCACTACGCATATACACACACACACATACACATGTATTTTGGTTGTAGCATCTAGTATATTTTATATATAAAAATACACAATTCAATATAAATCAGTGAACAAAATAAAATTCAATGCCTGAGAAGTACCTGCTTTCCATAGAGTGAAAATAGTAAAATCAACATTTTCAAATAAAGTTCTAGAACCCTAATGCTTAAATGCTATTTGACATATAATGTTATCCATTCTGTGAAGTTTTATTTTGAACTCAATTATGTGCTATGGTTTACTACAGCAAGGTAAGTGGCAAGAACCACATTGTTGTGGTTATTCTGAAGATAAAGCCCTCTATGTACAACTAGACAAAAGCAAAACGTCCACTAACTAGAATATTTAGAAACTGAGGTATTATGGGCGGCCCGTGGCTCACTCAGGAGAGTGCGGTGCTGATAACACCAAGGCCACGGGTTCGGATCCATCCACTAACTAGAATATTTAGAAACTGAGGTATTATGGGCGGCCCGTGGCTCACTCAGGAGAGTGCGGTGCTGATAACACCAAGGCCATGGGTTCGGATCCCATATAGGGATGGCCGGTTTGCTCACTGGGTGAGCGTGGTGCTGACAACACCAAGTCAAGGGTTAAGATCCCCTTACCGGTCATCTTTTTATTTAAAAAAAAAAAAAAGAAACTGAGGTATTATGGTTAATTTATTACTAATTTTCTGGTTAACTGAGAGCTGACTAGATAGTCTCTTTTGCTTCAATTATTGTTGAAATCTTTTCAAATGATTTGCTAGGCTGATGTTATCATATTCTTCTGAATGAAGTAAAGAAAAACCTTTGAAATCCAAACACTTAGTCACCTTTCCTGACACTTACCTAGCCTTGTGCTTTGCACTAGACAGAGAAAGTTTTCTATCCAGCAGTGCTAATGGAGTTAGAATAGGGCAGCTGTAAAGCTTTTCAACATAGCACATGTTTATTGACCTTTAACTAAATATAAAGCACTTGCTGCTTATTATGGGGCTAGAAGAGCCTCCCCAAGAAGCTTGCCTTAACTGTTGAGATCCATTACTTTTTTTTTTTTTTTTGAGGTAAATTCCCTGAATATCAATTACATCATTTTCAAAAAACAAAAAGAAAAGCACATTTCAAAATTTGATCTGATTTTTCATATTACTCATCCTTCTGCTTTTCTTTTAGAGTATAAACATTAAACAGCATTCTTATAGATAACTGGAATTCAGTTGTGATTTTTCAAACTGTCTTAGTTGAATCAGGTGGGTGGAAAAGGTGTAATACTGTATCATAATCTTACGAAAAACAGAAGAGCAGATAGAGAAGCATGTAATATATAGTTTAAAAATAAAGCAGTGCTTTTCTCTAATATTTTCAGGTGTTTTTAGTTACAGTAGTTAATGTTTTGAAACTTCAAATAATATTAAAGCACGGCATGTATTTTTAAAAAAGAGGTCAAGAAACACCAGTGTAAAGAAATTTTTTAAAATCTCAAGAAATTAAAGACTTCATTTTTTGTCTCCAGACAAAAGGGCATATAGAAAGCATTCGATAAATGTTTTGAATTGAATAGAACCAATAGTCAATTAATACAAAGCACAATTCACTAAATATACATGTAGAAAATGGTAGTGCTCTTAGAGAGTTGTGTCCATGGACTAAATAGCATGGTGGTCTAAACTTTAAGTGGAAAAGTAAACTTCTAAATCCCTAAACACCATAAGACACCTTTGTGACTCTGAGCACATATATTTTTATTCTGACATTTTGGGTTTCCAATTATTATTACCTTTGCAAACTTTCATAGAAAGAGACATTTATTATCTCTCCCCACCACCCTTATCTCTACCTTCTGGTGCCTTCCACACAATGAACATAAAACTGGGGGTACATGTTCAGGTTGAGAACTGCTCTGACTCCTGAATTTTTTTCTCCACTGGGTATCCAGTGACAACTGGGTATCCAAAGACAACTTAGGCTTTAAATTTAGGCTTTTCAGTTTTCAGCTCCAGAAACACCTAACTCCACGACATTTTCACACAACATGCTACTTCCTACCTACTCTCAGTTTATAGGTCACTGATAAGGTTCAAACCAATCAGTTCTCATAGTTGGAGGTAGACTGAAAGAATGCCTACACTAGAGGCCCTCCTAGCCCAGTGTCTGTATGTGTGCATGTGATGGATCTTGGGAAGTCCAAGGAATACCTACCTCTAGTTTCAGAACATCATGCTGAAGTTTACGTTGAAATTCAAGGAAGTTTTTGATTGTCAGCTTCCCCTTGAGATCAGCTCCAAAAAAGTAGGTTGTGAGGGCTGAACACAAACCAGACTTGAGGGTGTTACCAGTAGTAGGACGATCTCTGTGACGCATACCCATACTGGTTTGGGATCGAATGATGCTCTGAACCTAAAATAGAAGCAAATCCCCATACAGAAAAACATTACGAAGTGAAAAACCACACAAAAGTAGGAATAATAACTTTTGTTTATTATTTGCCTACACTGTGCTACAATTACCTCTTTTAATGCTTATAAAAACACTATGAGATAAGTCCTATTATTATCCTCATTGTATAGATGAGGAGACTGAGGCACAAAGAGTTAAATAACTGGCTCAAGGTCAAGTAGCTAGCAAGTAGCAGAACCAGGATTCTAACACAGACAGCCTAACATACGTTTATAATTGGGATCCTCTAAGAAAATCTCTCTTCAGAAATGACTATTTGTTTTCAAGGCTTAAAATGTCTCTTGTACAACTAGGATGATCATCAACCTTAAAATAATACCTTCCATATCTCAGTAGTCTTTTAAAAATTTCACACTTCTCATTGCTTAGGGCAGTGATGTCATTGAGATGATTCCCAGTGTCTCACACTCCCACAAGTAACCAATTTAAAACTATGAAGAAGCAAAAACTGCCAACCTGCAACTTCTGGAGCTGGGGGAAGAGGAGGAAAGGCCTGTGGAGATCATGAAAACATGAGATACAATGGTGAGAAGGTGTAGGAATGGTGTCTGTTGTTCTGAGCCAGCCTGCTATGGAGGCAGGGGCTAGCTGTTACACATGGATCGAAACCAAAAATAGACACAGGAACGCTTCATGTACACCTGCTTGAAGTCTGCAGGGGAGAGGAGGGATTTGGAATGCACCACACCTGTCCAGAGGCCATAACGACCATGAGCAGGATTCCTCGAGGTGTGCATAGGAACAAGCAGCCACAACTGACTGCGAGGGACAGGTACATGGCCGGCTCCATAGGAAGTGGATGGAGTGCAGGCGAAAGGCTGGCCTGCCAAGAGAACATTGGACAAGCATGGGCAGCTGGTCTCAGTGGAAAGTGGTCAGGGCAACAGAATTGCAGGGGGCTCAACCTGCACGAAAGACTCTGTCCCCATCCAGAATGTCCACACAGCCCAAACCCAGAAGTGATTATGGATCCACATAAAAAGGCTTCCCAGAGAATGAGTGGCAAATAGCAGTCTCCTCAAATATCTAGACATCAATGGTAAAGATACAAAGATCAAGAAACAACAGAGAAATATGATGACATCAAATGAAAACAAAGCACCAGCAATGAATGCAGAGCAATGGAAGGTCTATAAAATGTCTGACAGAATTCAAAATAACCCTCTTAAGGATGTTCAGGGAATCACAAGAAAATGCAGATAGAAGATTAAATGATATCTGGAAAAAAAAATTCAGGAGCAGAACAAGAAACTTGACAAAAGAATAAAATCGATTAAAAAAATAGAAATTTTAGAAATAAAGAATACATTATCTGAATTGAAAAACTCAGTAGAAAGCTCTAACAGCAGACTTAAACAGAGGAAAGAATCAGTGAGCTCAAGGATAAAGAACATAAAATTATTCAATCAGAGGAGCAAAAAGAAAAAGGAATAATTAAAAATGAAAAAGAAATACATCAAACATGGTACTCCCTCAAGCAAGATAACCTCTGCATAAATGGCATACCTGAAGAAGAAGAGAAAGGAACAGATGTAGAGAGCATATAAGAAAATAATGGCTGAAAGTTTCCCAAATATGGAGAAAGATGACAGCATCCAGAAATAGGAAGCTCAGAGGTCACCAATAAAATTCGATCAAAGGGGGAACACCCCACGGCACATCACAATCAAATTACCCAAAACCAAAGATAAAGAGAGAATACTGAAAGCAGTAAGAGAAAAGAAAGAACTAAGATCCAGTGGAGCTCCAATACACCTGTCACAGTGGATTTCTCAGTAGAAACCCTACAGGCTGGAAGAGAATGGGATGATATATTCAGAGTGCTGAAGGAAAAAGATTGTCAGCCGAGAATATTCTATCTGGCAAAACTAACCTTTGACTATAAAGGAGAAATAAAGTCTCAGACAAACTAAAACTAAGAGATTTCATCAACACTAGACCAGTTTTATAAGAAATGCTAAAGGGAGTTCTTGGATTTGAAAGAAGATGATGCCAAGGAGCAACAAAAAAACATCTGAGGGCACATAACTTACTAGACATAAATTCACAAACAACCTCAGAATACTCCTATGTCAGAAGGGTGGTTAATGAACCATTTACATGCTTAGTATGAAGACTAAAGGACAAACCTAACAAAACACTAAAATATACAACAATGTATAAGAGAAAGGCAATATTAAAAGATATATCTTTACACAAACATGTCAAAAAGTGGGGGGAAATAATGCCAAACAGGAGAACTGGCTTTGGTTCTTTCCTTTTTAATTTTATTTTGTCGATATACAATGTGGTTGATTATTTTGGCCCATTACCGAAACTCCCCTCCCTCCTCCCTCTCCCCACTCCCACCCAACAATGTTCTTTCTGTTTGCTTGTTGTATCAACTTCAAGGAATTGTAGTTG